CAGGAAGGGTAAGCTCCTGGAAAAGATAGGAAAGGATAGGATCAAGGAAACAAACAGAGATCTGACAAGGACAAAGAGCCACCTCTCTCATACTTACACTGGGGTAGGCAGCACACTCTTTTACCACAAGTCCCAAATGTCAGTTTGCTAGATGCACATTGTAACTCACTACAGTAAGAGAAATCAAAGTCCAATCAACTATGAGGTTCCATTCTAGACTCAGAAATTTGTCAAAGATAAAAAATAGTCAATTGTAATAGTCAACATTGGAAGGGTTGTGGAAAGACTGGGCACGCTAAGGGACTTTTGGTGAAGCAGGAGACTGCCCCTACCATACTGGAAAGCAATTTGGAGCCAAGGGAAGAAAGTAACTAAAATGTTCATATCCTTTGACCCAGAAATCCCACTGTCTCACATATGACCCAAGGAGGTCAGTGACAGAAAGCAAGAGTCTAGGATATACCAAAATAGCTATGGTAAGATTCTTTATAGTAGAAAAGAACTGGAAACAAAATAGATGTGAATGGTTAAACAAGTTGTAATATATGAATATTAGACAGAATATTATTGTGCTTTAAGAAATTATAGAGAAGCATGGGAAGACATATAACACTATGCAAAGCAGAACCAGGAAAACAGTATATAGAATAACACTACATGCAATATAAATTGAAAAATCAAGTATAATAAAACAATTGAAATGGATGCTACAAAGTTATAATAACCAAGTTTGACCCCAAACAAGAGATAAGGCATCTAACCCCTACTCCTTCCTTATAGAGATGGAGGACCAAGAATGTGGAGTGAAGCATATGTCAGACATTTTTGTTTTGGTTGGTTTTGCTGTATTGTTCCCTTCTCTGACTTTTTTTTTTTATTCTTTGTATAGGAATCAATCTTTGGGAGGGGAGGAGAGAGACACATTGGGAAATACGATCTTAGGCATGTTGCAGATAACAAATCTTGTGTTGGATCAGACCCTATGTATGGATCAGTGACTCATACAACCTTCCTCAATTCTGCCTCCTAGACTCTGCTCAAATACTACCTTCTACATGAAGCCTTTCCTGATTTCCCCAAATACAAGTGCTGTATCCCCTTAATTACTTTGTATTTGTATGCCATTATCCTGTACATACTTAAAAATGCTCAATAAATACTTGTTGACTTATCATTTGACTTCTGACTTGGGCCCCAAAAGACTGTTTCACTGGAGGAGGAGCAGGGCATAGCTCTCCATGAGGCCCTTCAACCACAAAAGGTCACAAATGGGTTCTGACATGTCTTCAAACCCAGCTAAAGTACCATCTCCTACATAAAACCTTTCCCAAGGACCGAGAGCAATTGTTGTTTGTATAGCTAAGGTGGCACTCAGCATATGCTACCTTACATTGTTACTTATCTCTTAAAGTCTGTTCTGCCTCCTCAGACTAGCTCCAATGCCTGACAGCAGGGATCTTCTCTCCCACAGCTGGTCATCATGGCCCCTCACACTACCTCCTCCATGTGGTAAGCATTCAGTACACATTTCAGCTGATGATAAATAACTGCTATGGCTCAAGTATCTACCAGTTTACCTTTCCTGAACCTAGCTATATCAGCAACCTCTATAGCTGGATGTTTCCTACCCACTATATAAAGTCATATGGCCTTTTCGGGTGGGTTTTAAATATACTTCCTTTAAGTTTCAAAGTGATGGGAGTAGATAAGTCTGTAAACAGGTCTGTGTTCACTTTATCCATTTCCTTCAGAATTTTAGGATTCATTTATCCAACGAATGCTTATTTGTGCTGTAATATGCAAGTGGCACATTTACTAGATATCCTAAGGTCATAGGATCTCAGATCATAAGACAAGACCCTGGACAAATGTCTATCCAATCTCTTCATTTAATACATGGGGAACCGGAGGCCTGGGAGGGGAATATCAGAGCTGGGAATGGAATTGCCCAAGGTCACAGGCTACTGAGTGACTGAGCAAAGGCTGAAATGAAACAAAAAAGGGTCCCTTTCTCTAGGAGCTTTCAATCACATTCGGGAAATAGATGTCAGCTATGTCTCCCACAAGTCTTAGTCTTTATAGACAGGAAAAGCCTAATCTTTTTCAGTCTATCTTCGAGGAAGTCGCCTCATTGTTTTAATGATCTTAGTTACTCACAGAAAGTAAAAACCTTATTATGGAAGTAAAAATCTCCTACTCCTTAAATTCCTCAGACACTGTGCCATTTAGTTTGAGAGCAAGATCAGAAAACTGTACTTGGCAATCTCTGCTTTTTCTTTTTTCTTTTTTTTTTCTTGCTTTTTGGTGAGGCAATCAGGATTAAGTGACTTGCCCAGGGTCACACAGCTAGTAAGTGTCAAATGCCTGAGGCCAAATTTGAATTCAGGTCCTCCTGACTCCAAGGCCAGAGCTCTATCCACTGCACCACCTAGCTGCCCCAATCTCTACTTTTTCTGCAACAAACCTAATTCATATTTGTCATCACAAGTAATATCAGCCATCTTAAGGACAATTTTGCTATAGATGTCATGTCAATACTGACCTGATATATTGTATTCAATTCCTAGAAAGACTACATTAGTAACCAATGTTGTGCCCTAGGTCCCAAGAAAAGCTCAACCAGGTCTTCCCTTTTCTAATAATCACCTATCTGTGTTCTATCTTAACTGTGGTCTGTTTCACCTTTTGCAGCTATCTACTAACAAGAAACAGAACATATTTTTTTACTTTCTATGGACAAATTGGGAAGAATTTCCAATATGAGAAAAGTCCCCAGTATGAAGATTATATGTCCTCCTATCACACTGTGTTCTGCTCTGGAAGCAACACTTTAAGACAGATCCTGGCAAATTCACAGTCTTTTTCATTGGACAGTGAGAGGCCTGACAACCATGACCTCTAAGTAATAGCTGAAGGAACTACAGAGATTAATACCTAGAGTATGGGGAAAACATATTGAAGGGCTGCCATAAAGAAGAGAGAACCAAAGTTGAAAACAAACTGGAAAAAAAAATCTTTGCATCAAACACTGACAATAAAAGTTGCAGAAATTTATAAATAACTGACAGATTTAACAGAGTACAAGTCATTCTCTAACTGATAAGAGGGCAAAAGATATGAACTGGTAATTCTTAAAAGGTATGAACTATCGACAAGTTCCCAAAATTTCTAATAATTAGAGAAATGTAAACTAAAATAACTCAGATCCCACTGAAACTGATGAAGATAACAAAAGATAACAAAATTTTTGGAAATTACCTTTGGAAAGGAATGTGGAATCATACGATAAATGTCACAATAATGTGCATTCTGTTTGAACTAGCACTGTCCTAAAAAGGTTATTGAAAAGGAAAAAAAAAAGACCCATTGATTAAAAAAATATTCCTAAGAAACACTATTCGTAACAGCAAAAACTAAAAAAAAGCTTAGTGTATCCATCAATTAGGAAATGGCTAAATAAATCATGGTAAGTGAATATAATGGAACGTTACTGTTCCTCTAACAGGATGCTCCCTTAACTCCAGGCATTTTCACTGGTTGCCCCCACCCCCCCCACCCAGAACTTTTTTCCTCCTCTTCTTTGCCTCTTGGCTTCTTTGACTCCCTTCAAATCCCACATAAAGTCTCACTTTCTGCAAGAAGCCTTTCCCAGTTCTCCTTAATCTTAGTATCTTCTCTCTGAGATTATCTCCAATTTATCCTGCATCTGTCTTGTCTGCACAGTTGTCTGCAAGTGGTCTCTCCCATCAGGCTGGGAGTCCTTGAAAGCAGAGACTGTCTTATGTCTTTCTTTGTATCCCCAGCATAGTCCCTCCCGCCAGCTCTACTCCTTAGATTTAACTCCATCACAATCATGCTCTCAGGAAAAGCTCATCATCCAGGAGATTGCATCAACTTTGGTACTCACACATCATCAGTACCCTTTGACTCTCTGATTGGAGGGCTGAGCAAAAAATGGCTTCTAAATGCTCAAATTTAATTTAAAGAAGGCATGCAATCCAGCCATTTTCCACCAGCTACATTCCTTGGATTCAACTGCACTATCCTCATGCCCCTCCCTGCACCAGTTACCTTCTCAGACCCATCCCATCTCTTTCACTTTTCCACTTCCTTTTGTGTGTTGTCTTCTCAACATTAGATTGTGAGCTCCTTGAGGACTAGGTCTGTCTTTCTTCATTTGTATCCTCAGCACTTAGCAGAGTGCTTGGTACATAGGTGCTTAATGTTTACCAAACTGAACATATCAGGTGCTTTATAAATGCTTGTTGACTAACTGATTTTCTCAAAGTCATATGGTATGTAAGTAGGAAAGCTGCATCTTTGTCCAGTGGATTCTGGTACAAATCTCATAATTTATAATTTATTCTCATAATACTCATAATTCTTACCCCTGTGACAAAGGGAATAGATAACATTTACAAAACAAGGTTAACAAGCCTAAGAAAACCCTATTGCTACTCTATGGTCTGAGTTCAGAGATAGCTATGTTTGGGGCTGAATATGGTCTCAACTGCATGGCAATCTTCATAGTGATGGGCTTAGGACAAGGTTCTCTACTTTTTTTTTTTGAGGAAGAGATACTTTTAACTCCTTAAGCCTTGGGACCAACAGGGTGACAAAAGTAAGAGTATTGTTTTCAGGGGGCACAATTCCTTGAACAAAGCAGGAGAGGAGAAACCTCTACTCCCTGAAATCTATTACTTCATGAGAATCCTGATAAAACTCAGAGATCAAGTTGATAGATAGACATAGAGGGACGGGGTTTGGGTTTGAATCAATGACTACATCTTGATCTACTGGTTCGGAACCCATTTAGAATTTAATAGGATCAGTGTGCAAAAATACACTTTTGTAAGAAATTTAAAAGAAAACCTCGGCACCTGAAAGCATTTTTTCCTATAGATAATGGAAAAACATGACAAGCACTATACCACTATTCCTGCTTCACTTTGTTCATCCAGAGGTGAACAAACCTAAAATAGAAATTGAGCATAGCCTACCTGAATCAAAGCCAGCACTTTGTCCTGGACAATAGTAGGAGGATTGTTCTTAGGGGCGATGATTTTCACAAGGACACCATCTATGAAATCACGGTTTGCCACAAGGATGTGAAATCGATGGCCACAGTTCTTGACACAAGTCTCCAGCACCTAATTTAGAAAAGAAAAGAGGCCATCACTGTTGGAACAAATAGCTGGGACACATTTTTTGCTCCACTAAGTCCTGTGACCCCACAAAATCATCAGGAAATTAGTTGGTAACTTAAATACAGGTTTTACATGACAGGGAGCTAGTATTTCAATAAGATCAAAATAACTGACTTCCCCTGGAAAAAATAAGCATTTTAACACTTCTCTCTGGGCTTAGCCAGTAACATACCAGGTTTGTCACAAGGAAAGGATTCTGTGACAGCTTGCATTAACTCTTGTAGGTGGGAGAGCATACACACACAACTGCAACAGGAGCTAAAACTTCTTTTCTTAATTTTTAAAACTTCTTAACATTAATTTTTCAAAATTTTGAGTTCCAAATTCTCTCCTTCTAGGCCCCCCCACAATGGTAAGGCAAACAATTGTACTTGTTATACATGTGGTGTCATGCAAAACATATTTCTGTATTAGCCATATTGGAGGAAAAAAAGCAAGAAAAATAAAGTGAAAAGCAGTATGCTTCAATCTGCACTCTGAGTTCATCAGTTTTCTGTCTCTGGAGTTGTATTTTTCATCTTGAGTCCTTTGGAATTGTCTTAGATCATTGTACTGAGCGGAGTAGCTAAGTCTTTCACAGGTGATTACTGTTACAATATTGCTATTACTACGTACAATGTTCTCCTGATTCTCCTCACTTCACTTTGCAACAGTTCATATAAATCTTCCCTGGTTTTTCTGAAATCATTCCCCTTGTCGTTTCCAGAAACTAAAACCATACATACACACTATTTGCCTTAGACAAACTGTATTTTTTAGAGCTGACAGCCAGCATTAAGGTGTGAGATATTCCCAACACTGTCTATTCCTTTTTTTTCCTCCTAGGTAAATGAAACTTAAGGTTTAAACTAAGCATTGATACTAGTAGGTCATGGCACGGCACAGTTCTGACAGACTCTCAAATTTGCCTATACTTTTCATTTGGGAAGGGAAGAAAAATTAGGTCCTTTGAAGTATTCTCAACTAAGAGGGTTCTGCCATTTTGGAAACTAGTTAAGTTTGAGGGACCTTACATAACTTAATTACTATATTTTATCCTTTTTTTTTTACTTTAAAATCATTTTATTGATACCTTTTGTTTTTATATCATAGAGATTTCAACCCTTCCCCAACCTAGACTGAACCTTCCCTCATGACAAAAACAATAAAGCAAATACAGCTAAAACATTGACCACATCTGATAATATATACAACATTCTGTTCTGATGGTTCCTCTCCTCTCTGCCATGGTATGTGGAGCAGAGTACTCGGGGAAGGAAGTATGTTTTATTTTCTATTCTCTGGGAATTGGCTTTTTAAAATTTACTTCGAGTTGGGCTTCCTTTTTAGTAGCTTTTAATTTATATTGCTGTAGTCACTGTATAAATTATTCTCTTAGTTCTGCTTTTTCCCCCCTTTGCTTCAATTCAGAGCAACATGGGAAGATTTGTGTTAATTCCTCATATATATCATTTTTTACTATACAATATTCTATTACATTTCTATGTTGTTTTTTTTGCCTTAAAACAGTTTACTTTTAACTTAATAGCCTAATGCTTTATGTAAATAAATCAATAAAACAACTCAATAAATTACCCATACTGCCCTATGTGACACAGTCTTGATGTAGAGTAGTAACACTGTAAGTAAGGATGCTGCTAATACTAATTTCAGACATAACCAGTACATTAACATGACACAAGCCTGGTTTCTCTGGCTCATCCTAACTCAGGTGCTTCATGGTTTCCATGGCTATTATTCATGGCATGTGTAGGTTATTTAGAATCAAGTTTCCTTTTAATGCAGCACAGCTTTAAATTCTACAATTCTACTCTACTAGCTTCCCACTTACAACCTGAAAAATGTGGCTTGTGGACTCTGCTGTGGAAGATTCTGATGGTTTCATTGCCTTAGACTTCTTATTTTCGAAGGGTTATTAAAAAAGGCTGGAAGTCATTTGCTTTTCCTAGTCAGTTAATTTGCTTAACGGGAAATGACTGAAAATCAATCAATAACTCCAGTTTTCAGGTGGGTACATTTCCATAATTTTTTCCAGTTAGCCTGACAGGTTTCTCACACTTGGAGATCTCACACTTAGGTATAGACTAGGAAGAGAAAGGGTTACTAGGAGTTGATGCAAGGAAAACAATCACTATTTTTTAGGCCAAGAAGTTTCAAGGTCAATTTATCAAAGTCTGTTTGGATCACAGAACACTAGCTCAGTTCCCAAAAGTCAAAGCCAATTCAATTTGAAACTGAATGGTGAGTGCTATAGGGTAAACCAGATCTGCTGCTACCCCTGAGAGAGATTAAGAGGAAGATTTTTCTTGTATTTGTACAGCACCTGGTACATAAAAAGCCTTAATAAAAAACTCTATTTATTTATCTATTTAGGAAACCTTTCTGAGCTGGCAAACACTAGAAGAAGAAGATCCTGTATGATTTCACACCTACCCTGATATCCTCACAACAGATCCTGAAGCCCCAAGCCAGAAATTTTCCCCAAGTCTTATTAGGTTACAGTGGGCTTATGTAAGTGCAACAAGAACAAACAATGTACAGCAATACTTGACTGGAAGACACTGTTATGGCAACTTTAACCATTTGTAATACATCTGAGAACCAGAAAGTAACCAAAAAATATTGTGCCAAAATAGAGATTCCCAAATTCATCCACCTTTCTCAACAGATGGCCTCCCAGGTCTTCTCTCAGCACTTATTCATTCTTAATTTTGACATAATTTTAACAAGTTTCATTTTTTCTGGCTTCCCAGCTCACAGGTGATTCAAGTGAGGTTGGAAGGCATGACTATCACTAAACATACTGACAATACTAATAACTGACACTGAGGAAAAAGACAGAAAAACCATAAAAAGTAGACATAAGCATTTGAAAAACAGCAGTTTGAAGCCACTTAGTGCAGAAGTAAATGCACACATGAATAGAAGGGCATCATTATACTGAAGCACAGCATAGTAATTTTTCACTTGCATGGAATAACTTATTTCCTGATGACTTCAGATAAATAAAATGGTACTGTAATGGAATAATTCAGACTGGGCTCATTTGTCTCAGTGAATGTCACACATACCCTGGCTGAAATGTAAAAGGAAGGATTTTCTACTCCCAACTTCTTATCCAACATCATTAAAATCTCAATCTCCTTGTAAGAGAAATATATAAAGGCCTAGTTTTTCACTTCAGGTCAAAGTAAAGTTTCTTTGACTATAAAGGTAGTAACACTTTAAAACAAAATTGGATAAATGACCCACTATCTCAAACCTATACACTGATTTACCATAGTTTATTACATGAATTGACTATGACCTAGATTTTTATCTTTCATGTATCACAATACCTCTCACAGACATATGGTTTCCAGGTCTCTCATTTCAATAATTATTGCTTTAAGGGAAAGCAAAAGTCAATCTGTTGCTTCCTAAGAGTACTTAACAAGGAAGGTAGGGTTAGGCAAGAGACATAATGCTTTGAATTATATATACCATACTTTATGATCGTAAATTTTTTTTCCAAAGAAAATTTCACATCTACTATTGATGGGGTGCTTGGGTGCTTTTGCTTGTACTTGGACCCCAATTTCTCCCTAGTCTCAGAAACACTGTCTCTGACAACCACTCCCTAGCCCAAGGACACTGTGCATAGCAGTTATTCATGCATGGGCCTCAGCACGACCCTTATCTCTCTTCCTAGTCCAGCTACACAAAGTGCTGAGCTTCTCAGGCCCCAGCCCTCAGATCATGTCTCTGGAAGCCTCCCAATTCCTTAGTAAATTCCTGTCTTGTGAGAAAGCTTTTCCCTTGTTGCAGAGCATTCTCTCATCAAGACAGAGGGAGAGGGGTGCCTTGCCCAGCCCAAGGAGTTTTGTCCTTGGCCAGCCCAAGGAATCTTCCTCCTGCCAGACTCCAAATATCCATACCTCTGTCATCTCCCTCCCTGTCTGGTATACTCCCTGTACTTTCCCCATCCATAGCCCCCAAAGACACCTGCACCTTTGGATTACCTCATTAGTGTCCCTGGCATGCCTTTCCCATGCCCTTTTTCATATAAACCCTAGCTCCACCCTCAGTCTCTCTCAGGTTCCTTAAGAATCCCTGCCCGCTGAAAAGCGTTAACAATAAATCTTTGCCACCTTGACTTGAAGAATGAGTCTGTGAATTCACTCCAAACGACCCAGCCTGTACTCTGGTCTTTGAGGGGTCTCAGTCTCTCAGACCGCAACACTATCTCATTTCATCCTGCACAGCAAATAGGGCAGGCATTATTACCTTCATTTCAGAAAGAAGATATTAAGGCCTGGAGTAGGTTAAGTGACTTGCCTGAGGTCACAGAGCTAGCTGGCAGCTGAGCACCAACCAGACTTTGACCACCAGAACCTCGGTTTTCAGATTCTCAGCTTTGTGTGTCTCTCATGAAACTACAATGTTTCCATTTCTTAGTCAAATGTCACTTTGAAAACAAGTATTAACCTCATATTTCAGAGAAGGAAACTAAACTATGGAGAACTTCAAGAGCATGTCATAAATCGCATAGTAAGGATTCAAGCTCAAGAAATCTTAACTTCATGGAATATGAGGGACACATGTATCATGCACATAAGACCACAGGTCTTGAAGGCAGAAGGTATTGATTTCTGAAGGTTTATCTTGTATTCTGTTATACTACCAGAGCTATTGTCCCAAGTAGTTTCTTTGTTGATTCCCTAGGATTTTCTAAGTAAGCCATAATGTCACTAGTAAATAGGGATAATTTTGTTTCCTATCTTAATTTCTTTCTCCTTCCTTATTACTGTCAGTACCACATTGGTTTCTAGCGTGTCCCCATTGCATATAATGCTAACTTCTATTTAAAAATATTTTTTAGCATATTTTTTAAAAAGATCCTTCTATGGCTATCCTTTGAATGGTTTTTAGAATAAATGAGTGTTGCACTTTGTCAAAGGCTTTTTTGTGCAACCACTGTTACAACTATGTGGGACTAGATATTATTTATTTTTAATGTAATTATGTTAATTACTTTTCTAATGCTGAATCATCCTTCTGTCCTGGTATAAATCCAACTTGGTCAATGTTCTTTAAAAGTCTGATAGAATTTGCCTAAAAATCCACCAGGATCAGGGTTTTTTTTCCTTCTGCAGTTCCTTTATAGTCACTTCAATTTCTATTTCTTAAGAATCTCAGTTTGAATAATGTATTGAATAGCCAGAAAGAGAGAGAGAGAGAAAGAGAGATGGCTTGGATATGAGACAAAGGAAATAAGATGGTTCTTTTTTTTTAAACATGGTAATTCATACATATATATTTTTTATTATGAACTTAATCATCAACAACTACAAATGTCTCAATATACAAAGAAGAACAACAAAAAAAGAAAACAGTATGTGAAACTGTGACCTTCTGATCCTTTCCTTTATAAGAAGCTTTCATGTAACTTTGGAGAATGATACTTACTGTTAATGCCAACATCACTTCCCTGTAGTTTCTGTTTCCATTGAGCCTCTTCTTCAGGGCCCGTATGGCATCCTTGGGACTAAAACAAAACATATGTTTAAAACCCTTGAAGATTCCACAGGTTAAATCTGAAAATTCAAAATCATTCACTATGCTCCTAAGGTACATGCAATACTGTTGTACAAAAAGTTTTCATATCTGTTATCCAAAGTTATTCTGTGAAGAAGGACAGAGCTGGTTTCTGACATCTAACCCAGAGACACTCACGTAGACACAGATGAACTAAGTAAGACAGACACTGAAAAACTGTGGAGACTAGAACAGGTGTCACAAGACCTGAAAAGGGCAAATAACAAAAGGGAAGAGGGCAAGATCTGCAGACTCGACTCGAAGTCAGTGAGCCTCACTTGAACTTCCGGAAAAATTCTAAAATATATTTTCTTTAAAAGGATGGCACATGAACATTTAAAAAGGGAAATGGTGATCACCAAGAGCCAGCATGGCTTCATCAAGTACAGGTCATGCCAGAGTGGCCTCACTTCCTTTTCTGACAGGGTAACAAGGCTGGTAGAAAAAGGAAATGCCACAGATACAACATAGCTAGGTTTCGGCAAAGCATTTGACAAAGTCTCTCACGTATCCTTTTTTTTTTTTAGGCAATTGGAGTTAAGTGACTTGCCCAGGGTCACACAGCTAGTGTCAAGTGTTTGGTCTGAGGTCGGATTTGAACTCAGGTCCTCCTGACTTCAGGGCCAGTGCTCTATTCACTGTGCCACTTAGCTGCCCCTCTCACATATCCTTTTGAACAAGTTAGAGAGAAACAGGTTAGGCTCACCTAAGCAAATAATATGGAGCACACCTTCAAAGATCTCATTGTTTTAGTAGACTGCAAGCTCAATGAGGCAGTTGTGTAATACAGCAGCCAAAAGAGCTAACAAGATCTAAGGCTGCAGGGACAACAAGAGTGTCCTTCAGGACTAGGAGGATGAAAATAACACTGTCTCTGCCTTCACCAGGCCACATCTGCAGTAATGTGCTTAGTTCCAGCCACTGCTTTTTAGGACACCAGTAAGCTTGGGAGCATTGGAAGAGGGTGGACAGGGTGGCAAAAGGCATTGAGATCATGCTCTATGTGGTAGGAAAAACAGGGAAGTTAGAAGATGGGCAGGTCTTTCACCATCAAGGCTAGCTGGAAGACTGAAGGAATTTAAACAACTAGATGGGTCACTGGAACAAATGGCTCAGGAGAACATGGTCTAAAGGGGCTGATACAGAGCTCTTCTTGGTCAGTTACATTGGTTTGGGGAGCTCACAAGACTTATCTAGTTAAATCAATTAGATTTAATTGATCTAATTGATGGATGGAGAGTTTGGCATCCCTGGTTCCATAAAGATGAAATCTTTCTGCAACTGGTTTTCCAGCAGGACTTAACAAGGGAAGGGATGAAGTCCTTTGAAAGGATGCTTTTGGTAAACTAGATCTAAGCTAGTCCACCATAACTACCAACTCCCTATGAACAGCTAATGTCAACTGGTGAAATTTGAACAGGAGGCTGGGATAGCCCAAAGTAGCTATCTGGAAAAATATGGTTGTCAGTACAAACAAGTGCTCTGAGGATGACAGGACAGAGCAGGGAGTGTGGAAAGAAGTTAAGGAGAGCCTCTCCTAAAAGAGCTTTAGGTATGGCTCCTGAAATAAGGGACTGAGAGAGACAATTGATCACCAGCCTGTGGAGGTACTAGTAAAACTATATCACATTAAGGATCAGGGCAGTAAGGAGCCAAACTTAAGGCTTCTCCAAAAGCCCCCAACCCACTCTGTAGTCCAGAGATCTCTGTGTCTAGACTTGAGGGACTTTGGGGATGAATATTCCTAGGGACAACACATGAGTTCCTTTGAGGCTCTGGTCATCTTAGCTAAAGAACTGCAAGAGGACAGGAAGCAATATGCTTAAGTCATAATAGCCTGGAAAGGGGGAAGTCACCAAATGCATGAGAGGAGGCAGGTTATTATCACACCAGGGGGCCCTCACTGGATCCATGGGTACACACCAATTTACACTGGGAGTTTCAGGGAGTATATAACCAAGTATACAACCAAGAAAGGGAAAAAGCATTCACACTCAGGTGTAGGTAGGGGAGGCTAAAAGATATTTCTTTTACAGTGATGAGAGGAAGGAGACCAGAGCACTATGCCAGTTCCCTTAAAACAATCTTGTGTAGACAGTGGGAAAAGTAGATGGCACCTGGTGGTTGAACAAAGTTGTTATGCTGATCGATGTGGCTGTTCTGACCTTCTTGTCAATGTGGTGGATAAGAAAGCCCAGGGCTAGGATGAGTTACTGAACTAACTAATGCTTTTTTCCTTCTTTTCCTGTAACAGACTGGTCAAGAACAGTTCAATTTCACCTGGGCAGGAGTCCATCATCCCTTCCTAGGGCTACCTGAACTTTCCTTCATACTGCTAGTCTGGTGGGCAAGAGACTAGAAAGAGACTCCACTCTTTTGAAGGCAATGATGGCCACAACTACATTGATGATTAAGTTTACCAGGTATTATGAGGTCATGGTAGCAGAGGCCCTATATCAGACAGTAGCCCATATGAGGGTCAAGAAATGGGAGATTAACTTTAAGAAAATCTAGGGTCAAGTTTACTTAGTAAATAAACTACTGACACCTGCTTCTCAACAATTCGATAACTTACTGGACAGTTTAGGCTTTGAAGAAGCTACACTTTCCTCCTGGTTATCCTGATGGTCCCCAACAACCAAGTTATTCACAAATCTACCTCTTTTGAGTGGGGGCCCAGAACAGGCTACAGCCCTGGAAGATCTAGAGAGGGCCATCCAGCAGTCTCATCCCCTGGGTTTTCTGACTATGAGACTCAAGTTTTTGTAGGTCTCAGTCCATAAATATCAAGTTGAGTCAAGTCTTTGGCAGGTACATAGGGAGTGGCCAGGCCAAACACTGTTGGGTAACTGGAGCCACAAGTTCCCCAAAGCAACCAATCACCACACAACTTCTGAAAAGTAAATGTCTTGAGGTATAGGGTGGATGAAATCTTTATATACACTGACTCCTGAGAAAGGGCCAGGAGTCTGGCTAAGTCATCTGAGATCTGGAAAAACCAAGGCTACGAAATCAAAGTCCTCTGATCCCTTTGGGGTCAGGACCAATGGAGGAGCTTTAGTGGTACCTCCCTCCGTATTCACTTACTTGTGGGGGGAACATCAGCGCCCATGAGAGACATCATACGCCCTCCATTAAACTGAACAACATTAAGAGAACAGCAGAAGTGAAGGAGTGGGTTCACCACCAATCCGGACATGAGGGCCATGTGGTGGAAAGGTCCCTTAACTAAAGACAAAACAGCTATTTCTACATAAAGTCACGCCTCGTACCAATCAGAAATATGAGTAAGGCATGGTCCCAGTGGTTCCTGACCTGCCTTCAACTGGGAAACTGATTAGCAAGAGGTTTGTCTTTAACAGCAATTAAAACCTATTTGGGCTATCACTGCAGTGTTAGTCAGATCTGTTACCTCAGCAATCTCCATCAAAATCCTCCCAGAACAAATTCTTTTTCCTTGTGATCAAGGCATCCACTTCACTATGAAGGACCAAGATTAGCCTGGCACCATCACCTCTGATAGGTTTTCTACCTCCCACACCATCCTTACGCTGACACTGCTGAACTGCGGAATAGATGCACGAAGCAACAGTTTTCTCAACATAATTCTGACTATCAGCATTGGATATCCCACCTCTGCAAAGCCACGCTAAGAAGAGGGAGAGCTCTCAAGTCCAGTGGTTTCTCAGATCCGTTCTCCTGGAAGATTTGCCTGATAGGGCCAGATTGCTTTTAGATGGTCTTGCCTGACCCTCTTCAGTTCTTCTCTATTCAACTCACTGCAAAGGCCTGGGCCTTAAGGTCTCTGTCTCCTGGAGGGATACCATATACACTGGGGAAATGGCTCAAGGTCCTCTCAATTGGCAGGTCTCCTTTTCCTTGAAATGATTTGTACGAGTCTTTCCCAGAAAGGGTTTGAGGGATGTCACTGTTGGGGCATACCTTGCTTTCCAGTGACATAGCTGTCTCTGCATAAATATTATGAGTATGACTTTACTTGGAAGATTGAGGATCTCTTAAATATCTACTCTAAATCATTGGATGAAGGTGAAAGGGAATCCTTGCCTAACCCCTGAGAAAGACTGGAGTACCCCCTGAGCAAAGGCTGCTAAAGGGACAAATATTTGGTGTCACCCTCCTGAGGAAGCTTCCAGATATGGGAAGGTTCTGGCTGGTAGTCTGTAGAATAAGTGGTGGTATAGTGCAAGTCTTGGTATCAGCTCAGGCTCTGGGATAGGTTGCATGGCATAGGCTTATGACCTCTTAGCTACTTTATTACAGATGACCCTAGTCTATAATTATGCTGGAAGTGTGATCATCTGTGCAGCAGTCCTGATGTTCCTAGTTGAGCTCCTGTTCACTCTCATTATTTTACATCCAGAGATATACTGTGCACTTGAACCTCTCCCAATATCATCAACCACATGGAAAACTCAGAACTGAGTCTTTCCAAAGGGAAGAGGAAATGCTTACTATTTCTGGTCTTCATTCTCCATATTTGGTCACACTGGTACTGCATTCCTTTAGGGAAATGACACATTGCTCACTTTTTTTTTTTGGCTCTCTGTTTTTGTTTTTCTTTTATGGGCACTAAACTGCTCCTCCAAGCCAGCCCATCCAAGGTTCTCATATCCTTGAGGTTGGTTGGTTGCTTAATGTCCCTATGGTTATTTAAGTGGCAAAAGGTACTCTAGAAGACCTATAGGATCATTCCAGGAGGTGGGATGTGGTAGAAACAACAATTACCTGGGTCTCTGTCATGTAGGTTTCCCCCTAAAATGGAAGGAAGCTGTCTTTACAATTTAACTGGACCAGGATACTAGGGCTTGAGTTGTTAACATGGCTTCTCAATCACCTAGGACATAAAAAGGCTAGCTAGGACCATGAGGTTCTCCCAAAATTTGACAGATGTTCACCTACCCTGTTAACCAACACACTCTATGATATTTACATTTGGAGACAAAGGGTAAGTATTCTTTCCATTCTATTGCTGTTGTTTTGTTTGTTTGTTTGTTTGCTTGTTTTGGGCTAGGCAATGGGGTTAAGTGACTTGCCCAGGGTCACACAGCTAGTAAGTGTTATGTGTCTGAGGCCAGATTTGAACCCAGGTCCTCCTGAATCCAGGGCCAGTGCTCTACCCACTGCGCCACCTAGCTGCCCCTCCATTCTATTGTTAAATACACTTCTTTTTTGTTTAGCGCTGGACAGTCTACAAGGACCTTGTTTCATTGCAATTCTGAGCCTGAACCAGTAGACTCATCTAAGTCAAGCCTGGCTCAGAACATCACACGAGGATCATTTGAAAGAACTGAGGAGAAGAGATTTAGCAAAGAGGAAACAGGATAGCTGTCTTCCAAGCATTTGAAAGGTCATCATGAGGGAAAGGGATTTGATTTGCTCTGCCCTTGAGGACAGAGCCAGAAGCAATGGACAGAAGTGGCAGAGAGGAAAAATTTATGGTTGCTATACTGAAGCAATGCTTCCTAACAATAAGCACTATCCAAAAGTGGAAAAGGCCGTCGAGGGAGATAGGGGGATACTCTGCACTAGATAGAGGTCATCAAGAAAAGGCTAGACAGAATCAGGCACATTGTTAAGCGGACTGTTATTTGAGTAGGGACTGAACTATATGGCTTCTCAGGTCCCTTCGAAGTCTGAGATTCTGTGTTTCACCTCTAACGCCTCAATTCTGATCCATAGTTGTAACCTGATTTCCTAGTCATTCTGTTTCCCAACTTGTTATTTTATTCCTACATACCTGTGAAGCAGAGAAATTAAAAAAGACCCACTGGCTATGATTATTTACTGTATAGAAGTACTATTAAGCTCAAAATTCTCTCACTTCTAAGAGAAAGTAAATATCCACTGTTTTAAAACTTAACTGACAGTTCATCTTTAAGATGTACAAACTGAAAAGACAGAGAAACCTGGATGAGTGTAGGATCAATTTGGTTATCTTTCTCCCTAGGAGAAAAACTTTAGTAACAAATGATCATAAAGAGATTTGTGGGAAATAGTAAATTTTCAAGAAGGGAACAGTACATTAATTAGCAGAGACAGTAGTAGGAAATGAGAAGGTAGGAAGGAGCAGCACAGTAAAAGGCTAGGGAAAGGATTTGAAAAAAGGAATAGGAAAAAATTATGTCAGAAACAGAGACCTGAAGAAAAACAATGCAACAAGAATGGATCAAGAAAAAAAAATGATTAAAGGGATGAGGGTGGCAGTGGCTACTATATGAGGAGAAACTAAAAAGTCAGGATGCTTTAGCCCGGGAACAGAAAGGTTGGAAAGGAACATGACCTAAAGTTATAAAATCATGAAGAATCAACATGGACTTTACAATATTCTAGCACTATAGAACTATTTCTATCACTTGATCCTTTGAAATATTAAAAGAGATTTATGACATGTAAAAAGGAAAAACTCCTTTCACCAAAGAGTAGGCTTGTGGTGCTCATGAGCCAAGGGTTTCTTATTCAAGCATGGATTGGCCTAGATGGCACACATAAGACAGCAACCTTAATCAATAAATGTTGTGTGTGCTCTCACTGCTCCACTGATCCGCTGTTCCCATTCCCCTGTCTCTCTCCCTCTCTTCAGGTGTCCCTATTCCTTGAGATAAAATAATACTGAAATTAGGCCAATTAATAATCCTATAACAGTCTCTAAGTATTCACGTGAAAGGAGGAGTCAACGGATAAGTCAAACTTCATTGTTGTCTTATTTTAAGAAATTGCCACAGCCACCCCAACCTTCATCAACAACCACTCTGATCAGTCAGCAGTCATCAGCATCGAGGCAAGACCCTCCACCAGCAAAAAGACACAACCTACCAAAGGCTTAGATGATGGTTAGCATTTTTAAGCAATGAAGTATTTTGTATTTAGTGTAAATACACTGGCATTTTTAGACATAATACTATTGCACACTTAACAGACTACAGTGTAGTGTAAACATAACTTTTATATGCACTGGGAAACCAAAAAATTCGTGTGACTCACTTTATTGTGACAGTTGCTTTGTTGTGCAATATCTCCAAGGTATACCTATATACTACAACAAAAAAGTCCCTAACCAATCAAGCAATAAATTGCATTTATTAAGGGCTTACTGTGTATCAGCCACTGTGCTAAGTGCTGGGGATACAAAGAAAAAGCAGAAACAATTCCTGCCCTCAAGAAGCTAACAATCTAATGAGGGAGAACATAAAATCAGTACCCACAAAATAGAGTAGATGAAAGGAAGTTAAGATCTTCCCAGAACGGCACATATTATACGCTGGGAGACACTTAATAGATGCTTTCTAATAATTATGAATACTGTACATACCCCTCTTCTGTCTCATTGATGATATCACAGATCTCCATATTCAATGTCCAGTCCTCACTCTGAAGGGATCCATCTGTAGCCTTTTCTGTAAAAGGAGAGAGAAAAAGCTTTTAGATTTCCCCTGGAATAAGCCAGCACTGGCAGGAAAAGTGAGGAATTATAACAATTATAGTAACTTATATGGTGCATTAATTTCTCAAATATTTTCTCATGTTTTCAAAGTAATATCTAAACTGAACCTCATATTCTAAGGCAGGTTATTACAGGTAGGCAGGCATTATTACTGTTCTATAAATTAAGGGACTCAGGCTCTGAAACTCATTTAAAGTCATTCAGTAAGTGACTTAAAGTCCCTAGTGAGAGTCAGGACCAGACTTCAGGCCTTCTGACCCCTTGCCAATGCCCCTTCCATTATACCCCAGGCTTAACTGCCTATTTGTTTTTCACTTGGCTCGGTTTCAAATGACTTCTGGTAATTAATAAAAATCAAATTAATGTCAAGCACAGCATAAAACTAGGAGACATATGCTTGCCAAAGGTATCTGCCACCCTTTTGGAGGCTACCTGACACAAAGACTAAATCAACAAGGGATTCCCTATAGAAGATGAGATCCTCCAGATGCTTCTTGCTTCTTTAACAACATTGTCACTGTACTAACAGCATGAAGCCCCAAACACTGCTGAGCTTCCCAATCCAAAATCACTAGAGAGATATTGGACTGATTACTCACACACACAAAAAAACAAATGACTGAAAAACTTCTATGTCCACGCTATGAAACGCAGTCAGATGAACAATCCATGGTGATGGTCCATCAGTACATACTGTGGGACAGCCACTGGACATGAACAATGATCCAGGCTCATAGCTGAACACAAGGAGGGAAGTAGGCCAAATTATCTTTGGGAAAATGAGCAGCATTTTTAATGACCCCAACCTTCTTCCTGTAATAAAATCTTAACTTTTAACAACAACATTCTTCTTGGGATGCTGTTTGGCTACAAGTCATGGATTGCCACAGTCTCTGAAGAATTAAAGTTAAAGGTCACTCAAAGAACAACATAGAGGGGCCTGGTGAGCAGACTACGACATATTACCAAGGAAGAATTGCCCAGAAGCAGCAGCATCACGGATAATACGGATATCGATATATATGGGGAAAATGATGGCTCAGTCACACAGAAAGAACAAAGGATGGACAAATGGCTTACGTGATCCATTGGTATCTATGTAATATCAAGAGATCTATAGGAAGACCGTGAGCACCTTAGTGGACCCGCTGAGAAGGGTTTATTGGAGGAAATCAGGGGCAAAAATCAGACAGGAAAGGAAGGTCTGACTACCAACATGCCCATTTCCCCCTTCCTTAAGAAGCCTTTCACTTGACCCTCCATCATCTCAAATTATAGTCCTCCCTCTTTTCCACACTTTCACAGTCAAACTCAAAGAACAAGCTATCTATACTCTTGCCTCTACTTCCTCTCTTCTCATTCACTTCTCAATAACTCCTTCGAAGTTACCTATTATCTCTTAATTACAAAATAAGGCCTTTTCTCACTCCTCATCCTTCTTTCTTGACCTTCGCAGAATATGACATTGTTAACTAGCCTTTCCTTCTGGATCTTCTCTTTGGGTTTTTCTGACACTGCTCTCATTTCTTTTTCTAGCTGCTCCTTCCAAGCCTCTTCTGCTAAATTATCATTCACATCCAACCCACTAGCTTTCTTTTCAATGTACCCTTTCTCCTTCTACACTCTCTCTCTCAGGCTTCATCAATTCCCAGGGATTCAACCATTTTTGTTAAGCAGATGACTTCCAGATCTATATCTCTAGTAACTATCTTCCTGAGCTTCTACATCACCCACTACCTCCTGGACTTTCCCAAGTGTACATCCCATAGACATCTCAAACTCCACATATTCAAAACAGAATATATCTTCTTTCTCCCTGCAGTTCTCTCTTCTTTCTAACTTTCCAATTTCTGCCAAAAGTATCTCTATCTTTTTGTCCAGGTTCACAAGTTCTTAGTCATTTTTGACTTTTCCCTCTTCCCCGTTTCTCCTCACATCCCATCAGTCTGCTTCTAGAGCATCTCCCCATCCAACCTTCCCTCTCCTCTCCCTTCATATGGGAGTTCAGGCTCTCATCACCACTCACTGGGCCTACTGCAATGGCCTCCTAATTGGTTACTTTGTAAATAGTCTCTAATCCCTCCTCTATACCGGTGCTTCTGAAACTGTGGGTCGTGACCCCATATGGGATCCAGTAACTGAACATGGGAGTTGTGAAAAGTTTGGCAACAGTAAAAGCTTTCTGAACTTGCAACAACCAAAAACTAATTAAAAATAAAACACATAGTGAATCCAAGGTGTTTCTGGCAGTGCTTGCCCGTGTTGCATCACGTGATTTCCTTGTAGCCTTGGTTCTGAACACAGCATTTATGATTATAAAATCAAAATTATCAATCAACTCTGAAAAACGTTGAAGATGCTCTACGTCCTGCAGTATCAAATATTCCACTAGGATTTGATTCTTTATGTAAAAATAAACAAGCACATCCCTCTCATTAGCATGCAAATTTGCTTTTGTCTTTAATAAATGGTAAAATTATATGTGTACCAAAGAATTGTTTTAAAATAAATTTCTTTATGATTTATTATCAGTAAATGTTTGATTTGTATACCTATTTTATATACTTAGGGTTGCATAAAAATGTCTTGGGCGAAAAGGGATCTCGAGTGGAAAAAGTTTAAAAAGCCCTGCTCTACCCTGATGCCAAAGTGATACTCTTAAAGTACAGGTCTAACCATGTCACTTCCCTGTGGCTCAAGAAACTCCAAGGGTTTTCTATTTCTTCTAGGACAAAATTCTGGCATTTAAAGTCATTCACAAGCTTGCTCCAGCCTACTTTTTCTAGGGTTATTACATATTATTCCTTTCCATATACTCTGAAATCTGGCCATACTAATTTAGTGCTGCTTCTCGTACATAACATTCCATGCCCTGTGCCTCTGCACAGGGTGTCTGTCCCCCAGGCCTGAAATGCTCTCTCTCCTCAATTCTTCAAGGTCTGTAAAAATCCCTTGCTTTCTTCAAAGCTTAGCTCCTCCAGGAGGCCTATCCTCGTTCCCCAGCTTTCCCACAGAAATTGCTTAGTATATATTTGTATTTACTTAAGTGTGTGCCCATGTTGCTTCTTATGACAGAATATAAACACCTTGAGGGGGAAAGAATGATTCACAGTTTTTAGGTATTTCTAATGTATATAGCACATGGCTTAGGACATAGTAGGAACTTAATTAAATATTTATTAATTGACTGATGGATGAATTTCAGTCTCCATCACTGAAGGGAGTACTTCTATAAATGAAATCACAGTTCCATAAAACTAATGAAGTATAAAAATCAAATCCACTCTTATAAGGACAAAGATTTATAACTAAGAAGGATAATCAAAAGAATATAATAAAAGATTATAAACTATTAGGTCTTTAGGAATATGGGAGACCCCAGCCCACCCTTCTTAAGATATTCTAAACGCTGAAAGGTAAAGAAACTGGAGAAAATAAATCTGTCAGTAGCAGGCCAGGTATTTGCTATCCAAAAGTTGAGCAAAGATAATCCAAGGAAGAAGAGTACAAGGAAGAAGGGGAATAATCAACATTAGAGCTAAAAGGGACCTTAAACCTGAAGAAAAGTGCAAGGTACAGGGCAGGGGAGTAATCAGTGTTATAGCTACAGAAGCTCCTAAATCTAGTCCCAACTTTTCAAAAGATGAGGCAAGTGAGAGGTTAAAGCACTGAGTCCAAAGTCACACAGTTTGTGCCAGAGTCAGGATTGCAAGATAAGCAATTTGTGCCTCCAAAAGACAGCATCCAAGGATCTAGAAATCATACCAAAAAGAGAAACTGAGGAGACAAGGCAGTGTTGATCCTGGAGAAAAGATTAGCAAGGAGGAATATGAAAGCTGTGTTCTCAAATACTCAAAAGGTTATCTATCATATGGAAGAGAGAGCTGTCCTTTGATGTTCTATAAGACAAAACTAGAAGCAAAGGGTAGAAATGACAGGGATTTAGACTTCATATAGCTTAAAAGAAGACTTTCTAACCATTAGACTGTGAGTGATTGACAACAAAATAAGCAATCCTTTCTGGAAGCATTCTGCTAGAAGATGAGTGACCATATGTCAAGGACATTGTAAAAAGGATTCCTGCAACAGACAGAAACCTATATTACATGACCTCCGAGATCCCTCCCAACACTCTAAGAGTCTCTGATTTAAAAACCCTGGGATCCAGGGATCTTTTGACTACAATGTGTTACTTCTTTAGATGTCTTGACTACACGGATTAATTTTTTTTATCTGTATCACCAACATCTAGCGGTGCATTAAGCATAACAGGTACTTAATAAGTATTTGTTGATCTTAACTGAATTAAAGAATTTAAATGAAATTATATTCATTCTTAGAAGGAGCCTGCCATTCATTCACTACTAGTATCAGTACCAAAGCCGTGGACAGATCTTTCGACTCCTGCATAAACTGGATTTTAATGAGGCAGAGTTGCACAAAGTCATCAGCCTCTTCCTGAGTCATCAAAGTACAGTGGCAAGACAAAAGTCAAGACGACTAGCAATGGCCCAGGATGCAGCGGATGACATAGCTATCTTCAGTATCTGACCAAGCTCTAAGTGCTTCACAACGCCTGCTTCTGCTACCTTCACATCCACCTATTCCACCAGGGAAGTCTTCACATGCTTGGGGTAGACACTTGCCTTAACGAACCAACAGGTGTGATACCTGCTGGTTGTCCTCAAACTGGTTTAGCCCATCTGCTGACATGGTCTTACCAGGGTTTGGCCACTGTACATGCTGCAGCTTCTTGCATCCACAGAGCTGGGTAGCAGGTGGACACCAAAGGCAGATGAGCAGCCCTGAAAAGGGCTCAGCAAGCCCTCACACCAGAGGTACTAGTCCTCTTTGAACACCCCATATACCAATAGTTATTAACTGCCCATCTCCTTAAGTGAGGAAAATTCTCTTCCTTATTTGTAAGGCTTCCAAATTAGGAAAAAGAAGTAG